TGCTCTCTCTTTCTAGTCCCTGTCAGGACTCTTGCTGCAGCATTTTGGATCAGCTGAAGGCTTTTCAGAGAGTTTTTAGGACTTCCTGATAATAATGAACCAGGTGGAAAAGATCAAATATTACTCAGTGAGTTGAACTTTTTTCCTCATGCGTGCAGATTAAAGAAGAAAGAATCAGATTTTACAGACAACTGTGTTACTGCTGTGTGTGATCAGCAGCATTATGAGCTCATTGTCTGTATCATCAGGAATACAAAGACACAGATACATCAGTTAAATGTTTTTATGATGGAGGGGCGTACCATCTAAGCTGATGTTTCTAAAATGTCCTTTGGGAGCTTCAGGCATGGCTGGACTGGAACCATCAGCTGCTGATTTGGAGATGTCTGTTTAAGAGAACAGATAAATAACTTCAATCTGAATTCCAGCTGCATGTTAACCACTGTATCAATGTACCTGTATCATAGCAAATTACAGTTCAATGTCCAATGTGTAAAAGAGGTCATATACCTGGAGATCCAGTTGGGCCACTGGTCAGGGGGCTGCTCCCTCCTGAGTCTGTGTGCTGTTGGCTCCAGCCGATCCAGGAGAGAAGGACAACCGCTGCCTAAGAGAAAACCTGTAGTGATCCTGTACGTGTCAGGAGTATCGGAGCAGCTGAGACGCATTTTTTCTAAACACCAGGTCTCTGTGGCTTTTAAACCTCAAAACACGCTGCGCCACAAACTGGTCCACCCCAAGGATCGGGTCCCAGACACAAACAGAGTAACATGGTGCATGCTGTTAAGTGCAGGAGGATTGGCAGGAAACCAAACAACCTCTGGCAACACAGAAGAGCCACCTCGTCAGGCCAGGACTCTGCAGTCTGTTTACACCTACAGGCCAGTGGACACTCTTTCAAGGCAACACGTTCTCACTCCCAAAGCATAACATTTTACGCTAGGTGACAAATCGTCAACATATTACGTTTTCGACTACACACTACGTTCCTAAATGACGACCTCGGAAAAATGAGGAAATATGAGAAGATGGGGGATGTATACATCCTGGACAGGGAGGAATGCTGGTTTGAGGGCGGAGTCAAGGAGGTCATTTACGTGAAAAGGGAAAGACCATCTCTGAATGGAGGAGGGGGCCTAAGGGTACATCTGTCACCGTCTTACATGCTGTGATTGCAGCCATTCCCCAACTCTCTGTGAATGGGACATGGTCATAAACTGACCTCACAGCCCATCGTTCATTCAGTGCTGCTAGTGTCAGTCAGTGCAAATGTGCTGTTTATAAGGTTGAAACCTGCAGTCAGCTGAGACTGAAGGAGTCACCTGATGATGATGAAACGTTTCTCCCACTGAACAGAACCAGATGGACAGAATCAGCCTTCTGAGACTTGTGGACATGATCAAAGAAGGTAACAGTACAGCTACCTGCATGTGGGAGAGGGTTCGTATACCTGGAAGTCCACTGGAGACTCCGCCCCCTCGCTCTCTGAGTCAGTCAGTTCTGTCTCCTCTCTGCTCTAACACGTGTCCTCAGTTTCCATGAGAAGCATTGGTGTGTGGTGTCTTTGATCAACAGGTTCATATGCCTTCATAGAGTTTGGTAGATCTCCTCAGCCAGTCCTTGCCAAGAGTTCCTGTTAAGGTCTCCATCAGCTCAGAGCTGGAGTTCATCTTTCAGGCTGTCTTTGTCATGGTTTCTGTAGTCGGATGGTTCTCATTAACCTAAAAATTCAGACGATCCTCTTTCAGGTTTTCCGTTACACCATCACCCTTGTCACTCATAAAGCTGTGCTTCTGTTCCCAGTCAAAGTGAGGGCGTTCTCCTTGAACCAGGAGCTGAGACCGGCTAATCGCAGCGTCTACCTGACATTTAAGGTAAGCGGGAAGTTGTCCTGTGTAGTAGCAGGTGGGTGCAGTGATGGGTTCCATAATATCTTACCCCTCCCTCCCGCCAGGACCCGGACCATACAACAGTGGACATTGTGGAGATGGTCGATGTGAACAATGGAATCCCATCTCTGCAAAACCCCTTTAAGATCCCCGTCAACCCAAAGTAAGAAATAAGAGTGTAAAACAAGCGACACACAGCTGCGTGGTCGTGTATCTAAGGTCGTGTCTGTGATTCCAGGTTGGGCATTTGGTCCATTGAAGCTTCTTACTCCAATGATTTCACCACAACAGCAACCACCGACTTTGAAGTTAGAGAATACGGTACATTATAATATCATGAAGCAAACTGCTGGTGCTGATCGAGGGTAAAACACGCGTTATTAATGGCTTTCACCCTGCATCAGTTCTTCCCAGTTTCTCCATCCAAGTGGAACCAGAAGCAAATTACATCAGTCACAATTTATTCACCAGTTTCAACTTCAAGGTTTCAGCCAGGTGAATAAACATTTCTGCACTGTTTATAGACTTTCAAATAATTTAAAGCTGTCAGTTACACACGAGTGGTATTTTTACCTGTCCCAGGTATCTCCACGGCGCTCCGGTGGCTGATGGTGACGTGTTTCTGCGCTACGGCTATGTTAGTGGGAAAAGTCCTCCAGTTATCATCCCAAACTCTATCATCAGAGAAAGTGTAAGAGACATGAACAAACACCAGGACACTTGTTATTATTATTATTAATGCTGATTAATGTTGACAGTATTGTTATTTGAACCATTTCACTCGTGCTCCAGCTGTTTTATGCTACAGAAACCATCCAGGTATCCAAATGTTCAGCTTTTTCAGGATGACTGCTGTATTACTTTGACTTTTTGTAACTTTTATAGTTGTTTTTTCAATATTTAGACTGTTATGGATTTATTTTATCAGGCAAGTTTACTAATAACCAAAACAGATGTTTTGAAGTCGCAGACGGTCCATTTTAGCTCAGACCTGTGTGGTGTGTGCGAGACCTGCCGTGGTATTCACCTCGTACACTACTCACTTGATCTGAATGCCGGAGGTTGTCACAAATCTTACAGGTCTCCAAACAGGTACTGAACTTCAGCTCCGTGTGGAGGTGGGAATGCTCGATGTGGTCTCTTAAAAAGATCGCAGAGTGAATCAGTTTGTCCTCCTGGTTTAAGCAGTCTTCAATCAAATCGTTGACTGGACTTTGGGGGATAGTCAGGCTCTTTGTCCAGCTGCTTCACAGTGCTGGTGTTTTTTAAGAACCAGCTCACATTTCAGAATGTTGATTTGAACTTTGGCACCAAGACTGCAGAAACACTGTGTTTGCTGCATCTGCAAATTATCTATGAACCTCTTACAGAATCAGAATCAGAATCAGAATGGGGTTTATTGCCAGATGTTGA